ATATAACATGTGAAAAAAATATATTATGATATACTACCTCCGTTATTTAATACAAGACCTAATTTAATTTTTGATTTGTTTTTAAATATAAGATGTAATATATTACCTCTGTTTCTTAATATAAGTCTTAGTTTAACTTTCAATTTGATCTTAAATATAAGATCATAATTTATTTTATCTCTCATATTTATTTATTTTTTTAAAGTAGTCATCGTAATAATTACACATGTTAACTGTTCTATCAAATAGTAGTTTTAATTAATATACATTATCAACAAGGGTATTTTGAGAAAAATAACATCTATTTATTATAAATAACCAACCTAACAAATTTTTATAAAATATATAAATTAGTGATCTAGCTTTTATACTCCTCCGGTCCTTATTATAAGACCCCATTTGACTTTTTATTTGGTCCTAATTATAAGACCCCAATCCATTTTGTCTCTTATATTTATGCATTTTTTTCCAAGATAATCCTTCTAATAATGATAGTTTTAGCCAATATACTTAATTAGCAAGGATATTTTAGGAATGACAACACTTATTTATTATAAATAACCAACTTAACTTACTTCCTTAATCTCCTCAAATAAGTCAATTGGGTCTTATAATTAGGACCGGAGGAGTATTAAAAACTAAATATAATATTTATAATTATTTCAAGCAATGTATCCTTGAGCTCAATTATCCTTTTTTTTATCAAGATCATTTTTATCTTAAGAGTATTTAGACAGAAACAAAATCACAATTTTAAAAATATTTATACAATATACAAATAAATATATGAAAATTTAATATTATAGAGAAGTGTTTTTGAAAAGCACTTTTTTTAGTAATCCAAACACTTCCTTGACTATGAATTAACAAAAGGATAAAAAGAACACTCACGGAACACCATACGTAAGACATGCCAGCCAGTAACGAAGTGGGCCCCATATTCTCCCTCGTGGCTCCGGTTCTGCACGCTTAAGACCTCCGGCTTTTACCCAAACCTGCGCCGAGTTGCGGGACGAAAATGGAATTCGACAACCAAATACGGCGGACCAACTCTCTCTTTTTATTTTCACTTTTATCAACAATCAGCATATCAGTAGCCGCCCTGTTCTCCATCTGCTTCATTCAACATTTACAACATACCCATACACAGCACCAGATCCCAGATTATACCCACGACCATGGACCTGACAATCTCCAAGCAATCAGTCACTCCCTTTACCTTCTTTGGATTGTTGCTCTTTCTCTACCTTCTTTTCTCCATATCAAGAAGCCATCGTAGAAACAACGGTACGGCTAGAAAACCACCACCGGAAGCCGGCGGTGCGTGGCCTGTGATTGGGCACCTCCACCTTTTAGGCGGGAAAGACCCACCGCACATCACCTTGGGCAACATGGTCGACAAATACGGACCAATCTTCACCGTAAGGCTTGGTGTTCACCCAACCTTGATTGTGAGCAGTTGGGAGATTGCCAAGGAACTTTTCACTGTAAACGATAGAGCCTTTGCTAGCCGTCCCAAATTCTTGGCTGCCGAAGTCATGGCCTATAACTTCAGCATGATCGGCTTCAGTCCCCACGGAGATTATTGGCGTCAGGTGCGCAAGATTGCCACGCTGGAGGTCCTCTCCAACCATCGCCTCGAGATGCTCAGACACGTGAGAGAGTCCGAGGTTAAGTCATCCATGAAGGAAACCTACGATCGTTGGGCAGAGTTCAAAAACAGTAGCGATCAGAATCTAGAAGCGGTGCCTCTGTCATGCGAGATGAAGAAATGGTTCGGAGACATAATCTTAAATGTTGTGTATAGAATGGTCGTCGGAAAACGATTTGTTGAGACCGAAGGGAATGAAAGGATTCGGAAAACATTGAGGGATTTCTTCGACCTGAGCGGAGCATTCGTGATATCAGATGCGTTGCCGTATATGAGGTGGCTGGATTTGGGCGGCCAAGAAAAGGCCATGAAGAAGACGGCAAACGAATTAGAACAATTTATTCAGTTTTGGTTGGATGAACACACACGCAAAAGGGGCTCCGGTTCAGGGCAAGCCCAGCCTAAGCACGACGACTTCATGGATGTGCTTCTTTCCATTGCTGGTGAAGCTGAAATGATTGATGGCCGCGACTCTATCACTCTAATCAAGGCCACAAGCCTGGTCGGTCTCTCACATATGTCCTAATCCTCTTTCTTTTTATCGATATTCAATGTTTATTTTTTGGGATTTTAAAGTCGTCATCCACACAAGTTTTTCAGATCCTAATTCATGCTTCTGTGCTTTTTATTTGTTTTGTCCGCATCATATACATTCATGATATTCTATTTTATTTTTTTAAAAAAAGAGATATTATTGTCATAAGCGAAAATTCATTAATGAAATTTAGAATTATATATATCTACCTATCCTTATTAAGAATAAGATAAAGATATTATTTTCCGCCCAAAAAAAGATAAAGATATTAATTAATTAGATACATGCTGCGAGCTGGGTGCGTGCGCGTGTCCGTGTGTTTATCATTACGCAGAAGCAAACATAGATGGCATCAGAATAATTTAATTTGTGTGGATGCCTGGTTTTCACCAAGGCCAGTTTTAAAAGGTGGCATGGGAAATTTGCAGGCAATAATTTTAGCGGCAACGGACACAACGACAGGGACACTCAATTGGGCTCTGTCTTTACTTGTGAACAATCGCGAAGTCCTAAAGAGGGCCGTAGATGAAATCGACACACAAGTTGGGGGAGAGAGGCTGGCGTCAGAATCAGACTTGAAGAACCTGCCGTATCTGGAAGCCATCCTGAAGGAGACGCTGCGCTTGTACCCAGCCGCACCACTCAACGTGCCGCACGAGTCTATGGAAGATTGCACAGTGGCAGGGTACCACATACCCTCGGGCACCCATCTCTTGACCAACCTCTCAAAAATCCATCGGGACCCACGTGTGTATGAAGACCCATTGGAGTTTAGGCCGGACAGATTCCTAAACACTCACAAAGATTTGGACTTGAGAGGGCAGCATTTTGAACTGATTCCCTTTGGTGCAGGAAGAAGAATTTGCCCTGGTGTCTCATTTGCGCTCTTGATGATGCAACTCACACTCGCCAATCTGCTGCATGGCTTTGATATTGCAACTCCTGATAACCAACCAACAGATATGCGAGAACAGGTTGGGCTCACTAATATCAAAGCCTCGCCTCTTCGGGTCCTCCTCACGCCACGTCTCTCCCCTCATCTTTATGCATAATGGAGACAAAGAACGGGCTAGATCGTTTGGGCTTTAACTTTATCATCTATCTGTTTTTGCTTTTTAATGAGCGGAGGCTTTTTATAACTCGAGCATTTGATCATCAGCATATATCTTTTATTAGTATTGCACTGTTCTTGGAAAGCATTTTGAGCAATATTATTAGGAAGGGGGCGAAATCCAAAAACAAGGAGACAGAACAAATGGGCGATGAGGGTAAGCTTAATTTTTCAGGCTTCAAATAGTGTGGCGCGCGCACACAGGTGCACGGACAAGACTAAGGCGTCATTTTTGAATGCGCAATATAATGAGTCGACACGATGACACATTTAACTCAAAATTCCATATTCTGTTTCTGAAATTGGGGTTTCCTATTCCCTCTTTTACTCTTTGCAATTTGATTCGAGGCGCTTATCGATCCACTTACACCCTTAATCTCATCACTAAGCCCTCCTCTGTCCTAGCTATTATATTGTCGCCATTAAGATTATGTAGAGTTTGTTATAATAATGATGTGAGGCAGTTCGAGAAGAAAACATGGCAATTGACTGACGTATTGCAGTTATAATTATGCTTATTATTTTTATGGATAGACATGGGAGAAAGAAGACTGTAACTAGTCTTGCTCCATCTACGTAATGGAATGGCCCTTTCATGATCCGTCACAAAGGCGGTCCTTCGTTGGTAGTTGATCCCCATTCAATGTGGCATCACGACTCCCAACCACATTGTGTCGCAAAACTTCCTCAAACCAATGCCTCATAAATTACCCTGCACCGCCTCTGCTTCTGCTTCCCTCCTCTCCTCCATCTGTAACTCTGACGCACATGCAACTGATCATCAATAATGGAAACTGCCCAAATAAGAAACCAAAAATTGCCCTCACACCGACCCACAGTTACCAGGGGCTTGCCCTTATTTTACTTTCAAGTTAATACCGTACGTACTTAGCAAATGTAATAAAAATATCAATGTTATTTCTCTTCTTTAATTTTTGCTGAAACATGCATCCTTATCCACCATGATGGCCCCCAGACCCCAGCGCTGGGGACGCGCTATTACTGAGCTCCATATGATAAAAAAAAATATACTAATAACACGATCAATTTTTGTGTTTTCTTCATTCAATTCTTTAATTAAGGTCGTGCACGGTCCATTCATTCACTCTGCAAGTAATCAGCCGCACTATAATAATAGACGAAACAATTTGGACGGTGATTGATTGACCGACCCCAAAAAAAAAGAAATGAAATGAAAGGTGGGTAACAAGATGCTCTACAGTGTACATGGTCTTTATTATTGTCTTGCTGACAAAATATAATATACATGAAGGGCTGGCCAAACTAACAACCCACCACCCCCACCTGCTCGGACAACTACCCCCAATCCTTCAATTGCCCTTTACATGCCCCCCAGGACCCCCCCGGGACCCAGAGCTTCTCCAACGACAACGTTTTCACGTCGGCCATTATACACTACTGGCTTCTCGCATTCATCACCTGTAATAATATCAATTGTTAATACTCCCATAACAATTAATATGATTTCAACATATTTAAATTCAATGTTAGCAGTAATTCTGGCACACATCGTATGACTATATTTTGGGATCTTGAAACGACGACACCAGCTGCTACGTCACGAACAATAGACCTCTAACAAGTGACTACTTAATTAACTCTGGTTAAGTCAACTAACTGCGGTCGACTAATTCCAATAGAGCCTTCAGGTCTCTATAGTTATGTAACGATCAAACGTCGTCTCAAGAAACGCAAGTCATACGTGAGGCGCCCAAACATTTCCACTTCCATCTTCTGCCACACTTTCCGGCTGGAGATTTCGCCGGTAATCTGGACCTGGAACGACGATGTTGAGGGAGGAAATTGTCGGTTCGAGGAGCGCGAGGCATAGAGCCACCGTGTCTGCGGCATCGAATAAAGTTCTGGTGGCCGTGAAGGCGGAGAGGGCGATCTCCAAGACAGCATTGACCTGGGCACTCACTCATGTCGTTCGCTCCAGTGACTGCATCACGCTGCTCCCTGTGTACTGTGGCGAGAAATCTGGTATGGTCAGAAATCCCTCGCTAAATTCCAAATATATTGTCGTTTTCCCAGCTCTTCAATTGAATTCATCCAGTAATCATAGTGTCTGCCTCCTTGTTCTGCTTCAAATTTGAATGAACTAGGCTTTTTATAATTGCATGGTTACGGCGATGGCTTTGGATAATTACATTTGTATATTGGATGTTCATTACAGGCAGAAGATTCTGGCCCTTTTCGAGATTGGCAGGAGATTGCACGAATGGACGCCGGGAAAAGTTGCCGGATCGGATTCATGAAATCTCTGAGTCTTGTGCGCAGATGGTGCTTCAGTTGCACAATCAGACTGAGGTAACTTGGCAATTTACCGAAACAAAAATTTTAAGTTCTTATATATGTGATGATAGGTCGTTGTGGACTACCCGGTAAAGGTATCTACCATTACCAACCCCACTTCTTTCAGATTGCTGCCCCTGCTAGACATTTACGTAAACGTGTCATCACACACATGGAAACGTCTTAGTTAGGTTTAAGACGGTAAATTAATTAACAACGGCCACGTGGCTTCTCCTGTGCGGAAAAAACGGCGGTTTTATATGCACAAGTCTGCAGAAAATTATTTTACGAAACTTATTAGAGCTCATATTCAGTGTAAAAATTAAATTAAAAGTTACGATTTTCTTTTTTGCCAACGAACAAAATACGATTATATCTAGTGGCCTATTAATAATCATAATGTCTATTTGCAGCGTCGTCTCCTCTCTCTCACACACACTCTCTCTCTGCCTAAAAATTTTATAAAATTATGATCATAATTAGGCTGAATACCTAAAAACGACCTATAATCATAAAAGTATGTTAATAAACCATTATCAATCTATTTATTTATTATTTATTTTTGGAAGGAGATTGGAGCAAATCCTGGTCTTTGTCCCTCAAATTGATCAGCGACGTGATAGAGACCACTTCCGATCTCCTCCAGGTCCAGGCTGTATTAGCTTGTTAAGTCGGTCTTCGCATGTGCCCACGATAATTGTTAAAAACGATGCGTGTATATATAGATCAATTATTGCACATGCATAAAATTATCGTAAATTTTAAAGTAAATGATAGTAGTATATGTTTGCCAAGGAAAATTCCATAACAACCATAATAGCAATTAGCGGATTTCATTATGTACGTTTCCAATCAACATTACAAATTTCAATTTTAATTTATAATCGAATTCAAATGAGTTTTCAATCTGACGATTGTTTATTTATAAAAATAATGGGAATAAGTAGTAACTATTGAGTTTTCATCTTTACCTTGAGTTTCGTAATCCCGATATTCTCTCTGACAGTCATAATTGACGAGTGATTCATTTATTTGTTTAAGCAATATTTTGCCATATGCTTTACGATGCCTTAAAGATCTGGTATAAGCTTCATTTATCATAACAAAATATGTAGTTTTTGTTGTTTTGAATCAAGTGTCATCTTGTTGGGAAAGACTTTTCATGATCATTTCATTAAATAACTTCACCAAGAAAATTATTTTTCATGAATCCCCTCAATTTTTTTCAAAGATAAATATCATCAGTGATTGCCAAAAAAAAAAAGAGTGAAATTTTGAAAATGATTATAACGTACGGACGCAACAGAACAAGCGAAGATATTTAATAGTAATTAGTTATTCCTGCTGTGATGATCATAATCGATACTTAAATTGAAGTTAATAAAAAATTAATTATAAATGATTACATTTAATTGTCTTGCTCTGTGTAATAAGCTCAGAATACACACACACGAGTCATTTCATTTGATTTTTTGGGTAATGTATACTTCTATATATATATATATATATATATATATATAAATTTAAGTGTTTTGCTCAGTGTAAGAAGCTCAGAAATTAATATTAGGTGTAGGACGTTATTAAAGTTAGTATGAAATAGAAGAATACTCATAATACATAACAAAGGTAAACACTTATCTCACGGGAATTAGTTTCAATACTCGTCACTTTTCTATCCTCAGGTACCTGGAATGTTTTGAATTAGCTTATTTCTCTCATTCTCTGTTTCCTCCCTCCAAGAAAATAGAACTACAGTTTTAAAATATTGCTGGTCGGGAAATAGTCATATATAATGTTTTAAAAATAGACCTCTTGAACATCGCGGGCGAGAAAATAATGATTAACTACGGTTTTGTTATGAGGATATATTCGCTTGTTGAATTTACTGTTTGTAATTTTTTGGTGAATACAGGTGAGGGTGAAGGTCAAGGTGGTGGGGGGTACGCCTAGTGGTGCGGTGGCAACTGAAGCAAGATGTAGCGGGTCTAATTGGGTCATACTGGACAAGTAATTAAACGTGAAAAAAGTATTTTTCTTTTTTCTGAGCTATTCAATTTATTTAGCTGCTTGCAAGTTGGTTATGATCCCATCAGTCAATGCCATGCAAATAGGACAAGACACCGTGAAATGGCTATTGCTGATCGACTCTTACCTTACAATCCAAAATGAGGATTTTGTAGTGAAGAGGATGTCTTAGAGAATACAATATTGCCACGTTGAGAATGGCCTCATCAGATTCACACAAGGGTAGTGGAATTTAACAAAACCAAAGACATTTCGACCAGCAAAAGGGACTCCCAAAGACATACTTGAGGAACATTCTCTTTGATTTCTGAGTTGTTAGGACTGAATAATCGCATCTTATTACTTTTAAGCCCGAATGAAATATTAGTTAATTGTTTTTGCCGCTTCTGAAACAGGAAGTTGAAACAAGAGGTGAAGCACTGCATGGATGAACTCCAATGTAATATCGTGTTGATGAGTGGTTCACAGCCAAAGGTTTTGAGGCTTAATTTAGGGTCCTCTGATGAATTCCAAAGCCCCACCTTTTCTGCAGCCTCTTCCCCAGAAAGAGATATTGAAAGGTTACGACGTCACCGATTGAAGCCCTCCACCCCCGTCAGTAGCCCTGAAGAAGTAGCTACTTCTGATACAACATCCACCTTAGCAAATTCAGTGTCATCTTCTGACAAACTGACTTCTTTTTTCCTGATATATGAACAAAATCCTCTGTTCGAGGGTCAGGGTCCACAGAGAAAGAAACAGATACCAATCAGTGAACCAAAAAATTTCGACGACCAGGCACCATTAGCCTTTGAATCGGACAGGGAAAGGACTCTCCCTTTGACCAAATCCGCGGTATCATCTGTGGCTAGTGATGAGAAACGTGTGGTTTGGAGTCCTCAAAATCACCTTGCCGATAAGAAGCTTCAAATAACAGAAAGCACTAGAATTAGTCTAAGATCTAAATCTAGTGCTTCTAAAACTTTACTTGAAAGATTTGTACATTGTGATCAGGAGATCTGGAGTGATGAAGTAGGACATAAACAAGCTCAAAGTGAAAATTATATCGCCAAATCTGGCATCAAGGATAACATTCCTGCTGTTAGAACTTCCTCAGTACCTCCTCCCCTATGCTCACACTGTCAAAACAAAGCACCAGTTTTTGGAAAACCTCCTAGACGCTTTCATTACAGAGAAATAGAGGAAGCCACTGGTATGTTTTCAGATATCAATTTTTTGGCCGAAGGTGGATTTGGGATAGTTCACAAGGGAGTGCTACGAGATGGCCAGGCCGTTGCGGTGAAACAGTTAAAGTTTAGTGGCTCTCAAGCAGATCTTGATTTCTGTAGGGAGGTCAGAGTATTGAGCTGCGCACAACACAGAAATGTTGTGCTGTTGATAGGATTCTGCGTAGAAGGCGATTTGAGGATACTAGTCTATGAGTACATATGCAATGGATCCTTAGAACTCTATCTGCATGGTTTGTACCAGCTCCTTTCTTTTCAGTTAATCACCGAAATATCAGCTCACAAAATCCAAAATTTTGCAGTTTCTACATGATTAAGTCCTCTTCGACAATTGAATGCTGAAATTTAAGTTGTTTATGTACTGTATATTTGCAGGAAAGAACAGAGGAGCTCTAGACTGGAGCTCGCGCCTAAAGATAGCAATAGGAGCTGCCCGAGGCCTACGCTATCTTCATGAGGATTGTAGAGTGGGCTGTATTGTGCACAGAGACTTTCGACCGAGGAATATCCTCTTAACCCATGATTTTGAGCCTGTGGTAATTTCGCCGGCTCATCATTTCCGAAGCCTCTGTATTTTGCGATCTTGTAGTTTCGAAACAACAATCCCGAATCTCTTACCATCAATTATTTTCCTTTTTCAATGTTAGAGTTTTATCCCCAATCATTTTGTTGCAAGAGTCGGTTGAGAAAATTATCATAAACGCGCAAGTTTGCTTTCAGAAGTGATGGCGGGAGCTCTTTTCATCATATAAATAGCGACTCCTTACAATTGGCTCAATGCTTTGCCAATACTTGCTAGCTGTATATTACTGAACGAATATCTAGAAATTATAGCAAGTAATAAATCTAATCATTTTCTGCGCATTTAGGTGGCGGATTTTGGCCTTGCAAGATGGCAGTCGGAATGGAATATGAATGCTGGTGATCGAGGGATTGGAACTTCAGGGTACTTTTTTGTTCTGTTTACGCAGTCATCAAGCTATCATTTTATATATTTTGATTCTCATGTGGGGCTCTTTCAGGTATCTTGCGCCGGAGTATCTTGACGCTGGAAATCTTACATATAAAGTAGATGTGTATGCATTTGGAACTGTCCTGTTAGAGTTGATAACAGGTCGAAGAATTAGTGAGATGGCACATAATAACGGACCCTCGTTTCTTTCCGAATTCTTTCACTCCTTGCTCATGTTAGAACCCAATCATATTTTAGAAAACCTCCAAGTTCTGAATCCATGCTTGGAGTTTGAGGGGTCACAGGAATTTAATCTTCAGTTACAAGCAATGGCCCGAGCTGCTTCCTTGTGTCTACGTTTAGATCCTGATGCCAGACCCCCAATGTCGAAGGTGCGTCTGAGTATTTAAATTATTCGATGAAATTGGGTTCTAAGAACATAGAGTAGAAATTCTCAAGAGAAAAACAAAAAGAATCTGCTTGATTCAAAGAGACAAGTCATGGACTGACATTGCTTCCGTTTATTGTAGATCCTCAGAATGCTGGAAGGGGGCGATCCAGTTCGTCCTATTGGTTTAGACCTGAACTCAGTTGGTAACAGAAGTGGCCATTTAAGTGGACTGACGTCCCACAATCAACATAGAGGTACAAGAAGCCACTCTCGTAGGCTCTCACATTGATCAAGACCCAGAAGCACGCACATTAATTTAATGGTAGAAAAAGGGAATTTTACTCATTTATTTTATTACCTCTGCGGAGGCGATTTGGGCTCTAGAAAACACTGTTTGTATGGGTCCGCACATCCCTGTAGGTCCAAGCTCATCACAAGTTGCAACACAATACCAAATCCTTGTCACATTGTATAAACCACTATATTTTCCTATACGCGCTAAGTGTGTGTTTGGGCCAAAAAGAAAAGAAGAACACACGCACACACCCTAAATCTGGCTGCTGTTTGCACAGTGTAGTGTGAAAATTGTTATACAATACAACAAGGCGCATTTCGCATGTGCATTTGTAGGGGAAAAGAAAGAAATAAGTTAAGTCTTCTTGGACGTGATATTTGATCTTCTTTTCCCGGATATATATAGTTCCATATAAATGTATCAATGGCTGTGAACGATGCACTCGTATGTTACTACACACGTATTTGTTTGTGAACTTCAGTATGGATATTAAATAATAACCGGATTTGACGTCTAAAGAAAGAAATTTGCAGGCCGTGGTCACTGAGATTCTTATCAAGTTGTATAAACATCATTTTTTTTTAACCAGTAAATTAAATAAAGAAAGGGTCAATTCATTAACCCGTGAAATGAAAGCAAAAGAATTACACCTGAGGTTTGACATGCATACATATGATTGTATCAGATGCAGTCATACAAAGAAAAATGAGAGCGCAAAGTTGTTGATTCCCATTTTCTGCAGGCTGATGGTGGGTGCATATATATATACTGTTAAAATTAAAATACATGCTTTTGGCTGGTGGCATTAAGTTTGTTTCACTTGGAGAAAATGCTGGCATACCCGCAAGTGAAGAAATTACCTTTTGTTGTTGGGTCGGGTTGAAGAAGAGAAGCTGCCATCCGATGGGATGGAGTCGAAATCCGGGAGCTGCTGCCCTGTCCCCAGGTTCTGCCCCGTAACGCTCCAAACCTTCACCGACTTATCCAGGCTCCCACTGTACACCACCCACCGTTCGTCTCCTTTCCCCGATGCTTCCTTGTCCTCCATCACCGCCAAGCACTTCACCGGTCCGTCGTGCCCCGTCAGCACGGACAGGCACGTGTGAATATCCCCCTCCCTCCTCCACACGCATATCGTCTTGTCCGCCGACCCACTGAACACCAACTTCCCCGCCGCCGTCATGCAAAGCACTCCCAGCTTGTGTCCCTTCATCTCCCCTCCGTGCGCGTACTGCTTCTCTCTCTTCCAGAAATTCACTATCCCGTCCGAGGACCCTCCGTACACTATGCTCCCAGTGGGGTCCACCGCTAATGAGGTCACCGCAAATTCTTGCTTCAACAGCGTCTGTGCCGCCACGTGTTTCGTGCCCTTCCCTTGTGGCTCTCTCCGCCAGCCCTTCACCGTGCCGTCCGCTGATCCTGAGAACACCATTCCGTCCAACCCGCACACCACCGAGTTCACTGCATCGTCGTGGGCGCTGATCGACTCCATGCACTTGGAATCAGATAGCCTCCATACCTTTATGGTTCGGTCCCATGAAGCCGAATACAGGATCGTCTTATCCATGCTCAAGGACAGGCAGGAAACGGCATCGCAGTGCTTGATCCATAGCGCGGTTCGGTTCTTTTTAACCTCCACGTAATTGCTGGGCTTGATGGAGCTCTTGAAGATATCTTTCAGAGAAGGTAACGTGCCGGCACGCTTGTGAACGCTGGGATTTTTCGGAGAGACTTTCCAAACGCGAATTTTACCGTCCTGGTGACCAGTGAATATTTTTCTGTCGGAGATGATGATGGCTTTAACCAATCCGCTGTTTGATTTGAAGCCGCTGAACTCTTGAAGGTTCTTCCAGACGCGAATGTTCTTACTGTCGGAACCGGTGTAGAGGAGGTCACCGGAAGCGGCTAAGGAATAGATATGGCCTTCTTCACGAACAAGCGAGCCGATGAGACTATTCTGGGGGGCGTTTTCATCGTCGGTGGACCAGGAAGAGCTGGCAAAGGGAGGCATGGTGGTCTGATTCCAAGGGGACATCATCATGGGGGATCCCTCCCCACTGATACGGCCGGAGTCGAAGTGGCCATGGCTGGCGGCGGAGGCGCTGCTCTCACGAGCGACGTAGTCGTCTTCGGAGTCGGAATGCATGTTGGTGGGGCGAGGCATGGTGTTGGCGTGGAAAACCATGGGGTCAGGTCTCTCGGTCGTCATTACCAATTAATATATCTATTCCCCAATTCCTCTCCGCAATCACATTATGGGAAGAAGGGTGCATGCAACGCAGGAATTATTGTCAGAAAAATAACAGAACACAGAAATTGATAATTGTGATTTGGGACGGACGCGGATGGATTGGTTGGCAGAGAGCAAAAGCAGGAACACTATGCCTAAGAATACCAGTTCGTACTCACTCCGGAAGGGAGAGGTACGTAGTTTTAAATCATATATCAAATTATTTAATTAGAGTAAATTATTGATGGCGGAGCTGCAGAATCAACAAGATACTGACACCTGCAACCATTTTATTATTTCTGGGTGCGAGGATAATAAGCTGATTTCTTTTTCCTTTTTGTTCAAAATAAATTGGTAATAAACATTAAAATTTAGGCAGCCGTATATTGTATATAATGTAAAAAAAATTTTCCCCCAAAAAATGAATCTCATGCAAGCGCATGAGTGCACGAAAACTGATGCCAAATGGTGTCAAAATATGTATGTACACAACTCCCGCGCTCAATATCTGTTTATCTACTTGATGCCCAAAAAAAAAACTGTTTATATATTCCTCCGGTCTTTAATATATGACCTAATTGTTGAATTAGTTTTGGTCCTAAATATAAGATCTATTTCTCAGATTTATCAATTTTTTTTAAATTACATCTATGAATACTCCCTCAACCATAATTAAGTAGAAGAGAAAGAAGGGGATTATGAAAGATGATTATGGTATTTTAGAAAAAATGTGTCACATTTCTTATAATTAACTAACTTACCTAATTTTTTTAATCTAATTAAATTAATTAAATGAGTCTTATATTAATGATGGAAGGAATACTTTCAAGCATATTCCTAAACTTTTCAATGACGGCTTTTTTTTTTTTTTAAAATGTAAAGCTAAACCCTGCTTTTCTTTGTCGGCTTACCTCTGGATTTCTCTGTTTATACTGTCAAGTTGTGATCATGACGTTAACAATTCAACTAAAATGAGATGGACAACTCGCAGCTATGACATTATGCCGTTTTCTGAGAATGGCGACTTTGAGCTCGAAGGCGTGCATCCCTATGCTGAAGCTCTCAACATGATGAGGCTCAATTCAGAATACAATATTGGGCCTTACTCTAGCAAGTTTGATACGAAACATTAAAAATAAAAAATAAAAATTAGAATTGAGATTGAGAAAATAGTATTGAGTATGAGAGATTGTTTATTATATGAGATTAAAAAAATCTATATATATGGGATTGAAAAATACCATAAAGGGAAGTGATATTTCCCGATCCTATTTCTATAGATTTATATAATCATATGTAACAAGTAATTACTTATGCTAAATACTTTTTGAATGATTTTTTTGAAATTGTAATCGCAGTCTTTATTCTTCATCTTTAATGCTTCATGCCAAAACAAAAAACCTATAAACATAGCTGTGCTCAAATTTTCTAGTGCGGAGTTCTCATTTTGCAATAAAATTTTATAATAATATTGTATTGATTTTATCGACAGTGATGCCCCTCCACAATCTTTATGGGTGTAGTTCCACGTCGGTCTTTTGAGCATTGCATAATAAGAAAATCAAAGGGTTAAGAGAGGGATATATGCATGCTGTTAAAACTTGATGCGCCTCTTCTCGACTGTCCCTAGGAAAATACACTGTTTTTTTAATAAAAAGAAAATATTCTTCTAACCCTATTTATAAGATAAATAAATAACCCTTTTATTCTATTTATAAATTATATGATTAAATTTTTAACATAACAATAATATTACTGGCTCACTCACTCATGCCTCTGGCAGGATTTATGAAACATAATATATTATTTCACTCTTTATTTATTATTATGTATATTGTTGTTTTGGTAAAAAAATGTATGCATCAAATACAAATAAAATTAATTTAAAATAAATTTAATAAAATTAAAGATTTTTTTTATCCTAATTATAAACTCTGGTCCTGGTTGTAGCATGAAATGTGAATGTGAAGTGGCGGGGACTGGGAAACATGGTGGAACGTACAGTAGGCGTTGGGCACAAATACGAGAAGCGCAAATCTCCCCTCTCCTTCCAACGAGGCCCCACCCACATACCCCCTCACAACACGAAGCGTCATCCCACTATGTTCTGCTCCCCGTGTATATCGCTATCTCTGCTTTTTCTTCTCCTTCTCGGCCCATTTCATTCATCCCCCCTCTTATGTATGGATATGACAGTGCCGTCCCCGCCATTGCTGCTTCATTATTTTGTGCGTCTTCTTCCATGCCCCTTCAATCATCCAACACAGCTATATGAACACTGAACCGGCTGCTTCAAGCTCACCTCACGAATCCCACTCGTTTAACATGCTCGATTGCGAATTAAGACCAAGAAACACTTCACACCCAGGATCGTATGTATGGTATGTAGGCGTAACTTTCATAAGATATTCAATAATCAAAAAATTGAAAAATAAAATCCTAGTGTATATACTAATACAATAACATGTTGGTTCCTCCTCTGAGGCCAACGGATCCAATCTCTTCCGCCTTCCCTCCTTCCCTGTCATTTTCTCTGTCTCGCTGTGCTCTCTTTAGCTCTTCCCTGTCACTTCTTGCATCAAAGGCACATGATAAATGATAGTTGTATTCTTCAGCAAGTCCGACTTCAGAGCAGGCCGTCTTTTCACCCTACCCTTCGCTACACTGATTCCAAAATCAGGCGGAAATACTTGAAATCGGAGTGCAAGCTGCTTAAAAGCTTGCAGTCTTGAGAGAGGTGAGGGTAACGGAAGAACCCAACGGCGAGGATCCGACTTGAATCTCGAAGGAATCATAGCGAAGGAAAAGCTCCACCACCAACAATCTCGACACCAACATCACGAAATCTTTTCCGGCACACTGCTTGTTGTCGACAGTCGGATTTTGATTCTCTGGCCCATTCGACCACAGCACATGCTTCAGCAACTTCTCACCCTCGCCGACGAACCTGTCTCCAACAAATTCATCAGCCCTCTCGAATATCTTCGGGTCCTTCGTTGCGAACGGCTGGTACCCGAACAACATTTCTCCTTCCTTCACTTTGAACCTCTTCTCGTGGCTTTCGATCACTAGATCTCTCTTTGCCTTGCCGTACTGTAACGGTACTGGCGGTTCTATTCTGAATGCTTCGTATACTACCGACTTCATCAACGGCATCTGCTCCATCGCCCTCATCGTTACTTCTCCACCGTTCGACCTCACCGCCGTTCTGATCTCCCTCGCTAACTCCGTGTGAAGTTTCACCCCTGCCCGCCCGATCCGCTTCAGCATGTTCGGGAAGAATATCTTCATTCCTCCGAACGAATTGAAGCACGTTGCGAACAGCAGGTTGTGGCAGGCTTCTTCTTTGGATACGCCCAAACGCTCCGCTTCGTCGAGCACGAAACCGGAGGACTCGTAGAAGAAATCGTATAGCCTCTGGTAATCTGATTTGACCAAGGCGGGAGGGAGACGAAAGGTGTGGAATATGCCATCTTCGATGGGCTTTGGGAGGCCCAGAATGAGAATAGGACTGAGCTGGAAGAGCACCCATTTCTGGACTATCTTTGGGCCGTCGAGCCCGAGTTTGGTATCGGCCGGATTGGTCCCATACAGAGATCGAGCCAGAAAGTTAAAAGCGGCTTGATCATTGGCATCACCGAAGCTGGCTTTTCCATTCGCCGCAAGCTGGCTCTCGAGCGTGTCGAAGAGCTGGGCGTAACTAGAATGGAATTCGGGAATGACCTTGTCGCGGCGAGACTTGAGGAGGAAGAACATGAGGCGCTTGAGCTGCTCGTGTCCGGGCTCGGAGGGGTCGAGGTAGGAGAGAACTCGGTAACCTCCGGTGAGTTCAGTGGAAGGCATGAAAGTGCCAGTGAACACATCTTTCTTCTCGACCTTGGTGACGTCGAAGAGAACGGGGAAGCTTTTCCCGTCGAGCAAGGCGACGACGCGTGGGTTGGGAGCAATGAATGGTCCGGGCGGCATGTTGGTGCGGAAAACTGTTGACTGGTACTTCTGGATGCGTGATTTGAAGTACTCGTCTCGGCCTTGGTTATAGAAATAATCAAGACGGTCTTTGATGGGTCCAACAAGGGGAAGACCATAATCCCCAGGAATTTTCTGCACGGGGAGCTCGGCAGGCACCACCGGCGGTACAGATAAGGACGGTCTCTCGGAGACGGAGGCTTTGATGACGGGACGAACAAACAATAGAGGCGTGGAACGGTTGGGTGATTTTCTGGTCAATGGAAATTGTAGATGGAGAGAAGGAGAAGAAACGCTCGTCGCCATTTGGAGGTAATAGTGAGTGAGGAGATAACAGAGAGAGGAATGAAGGTGGAAGGCTGGATATGTTTGCGGGGGAGGATGGCGTTGCCTTTATATTCACAAAAGGTGGCAGCTCAGCTCATAAAGATATTGATTGATTATTGAAGCTGGACGGGGAGTCGTGAAAGGTGTGCAAAAATTGTATGTTTCTTTAACACAAGTCTTAATTTTTTATTCATTGTTCACATGAGTTTTGAGAATATTTAAAATTAGAAATGATAGTGCTGGGTCCATGTTCGTTCCACCGAGGAGGGTGGTTTTCGGAACCCAAGTGCTTCAAAATCTCCCTCGTGGGCATTTCTTCAGGAATTAAAAATCATTTAAAATTAGATATAATAATAATAATAATAATAATAATAATCTAATGTCAGTGGCTTTGGCGTTGAATAAAGGAAGCGCGTTGGGACCAATGAGTTTAGCTGTGCTGTGCGAAGCACGGAGATCCGGAGAAGAGTCGGATGGACTTTACTTTTCCTCGCACGGAAAAGTTGGTCTAATTGACCGCATTAACATTTGACTCTAATGCTGCATTTTGCCCGTTCCCTTAAAAGCTTAACTACTCATTGATATTTCCAGCTTTTGGCAAATTCATTTGCACAAAGCAAACCACTGATCCCCTTCTGTACATGTTGTGGCCTTGAAATTATTCCTTCCTTTGTTTGCGAGCTTTGCCAGATAAAAATAGATAGTGTCAAACCATGCGCTGCAGAGTGAGACTGATGCTATATAATGGATTGATGTCAGTTACTATGAAACGTAATTATTCAGACATGCAGAAAAACAAAACAAAAAAAAAATATCTTGATTAATTAATGAGCATTAATCAACACAGGTGGTATGTGCTGTGGGAGTGACGGACGGGTGCAGGCTGGGTCTTGGCCGGTAAGGAATAATAAGGGAACACGTGAGGGAAATGGGGGCCCATTCGTCCAAGCACCAAACTCAATTGTCGACTGTGTAATGATAAACGCAACAAAAGGTGGGGTTTCAATCATTTGACCGGCGAATTTGAAGCCCTCCGACCATTATTTCTCAACCAAGGTCTCATGTTGTTCATCAACTGCGTCCTGAGGGCCCTCCACCATTCTTCTCTGCTCCTATCCATTACCTACGCACCTCCCACTGTAAGTGTTATGTTGGCTTAGTTTGTAATTAATGCCCCATATGTTACTTCCGACCATTTCCTCCGTAATTTGCAGTTGTGAGTTGTAACTACTAGACATGTCCAAACCATTCGACTACTCTGACGGCATCCCGAATTCATTTTTCTTAATTAAAAATATTAGATATCGAACCCCTTTTCTGCTAATACTTTTATCATGTGATAGTTTGAAAAGGGGAATTGCGCTGGTTAACAAAGTAAGCTTCCACATATTGACGTTACAAAATTGAATTGATATGATCCCTCGTGGTCGGAATAATGACTTTTATATGAGGCTGTTTTGGATTTTGTTGGTTGAAAAGTATCATCGCCTGGGATCTTTACCTCAACCTCAAAGTTATTGTACAAGTATCATTCTCGTGTATTGTACCTAGCATACCTGGTTACATTAACTCCCTTTTTAATCAGGCGTGCTGTTCAATTGGCAATTAAGGGATATCTGTACAAGCGAGGGTTCATCCTTGCTGGCCCGTCGTTGAAGTTTCGCACTGTTGATTTAGCGGCAAATTGAAAATAGACTTTCATTTAAAAAGTGGGTCAAAGTCGCGGCTCCTCAAATCCCCTGAATTGGGAACCTTCCAAGCAGTAGGGGTGGTGCCTCTGGTCATTGATGAAGTTACTTTTGGCCTGTAGCCGACAATTGATGACCTCCCTTGGGGAGCATTCCTGTATATATTTCTTTGGATCATGTTTGATTTGTAGAGGAAGAGGAACATTGGAGAATCAAACGTCTTCGGCCTCTGCGCGACTCGAGCTCATTATGGGTTTCTAATTGGACGGTGTCGTTATTTTGATTAATTTGTGTTTTCTAGTATGCTTTTTTGTTTTTTTTTTTGGGTGCTCTTGTGTTTTTGTTCCCCCCCCCCCGGGGGGGGGGGTTAGCATGTGTTTGAAGTTTGAACAAAGAAATGCTCTTTGAAAGCCTATTGGAAGAGGAAGGGGACGTTGGAGAACCAAGCCTTCAAAAGTAGGAAACTTTGGCACCATGTTCAGGGCACATCAACAATGATGAGCGATCAGATTATTTTCAGATTAGTTTAGACATCAACTTTTATAATTATATTTTAAATATTTCTTTTCATAAATATAAATTAAAAAGAATATTGAAACTTTTGATTTCTCAAGCTTAGTTTACCCATCAAAATTTGGTTGGGAAGTCTGATTTTTATTAATCAAGTCCTAAAATTTCCCATACATAATTTTATATTTTTATTTAGTCTTCTTAGGCCAATAATCTTTACTGTAGTCTATAAATTATAAAGAGGTTATTATTCTTGAGTTAATAGTTAAACCACATCTTTCTTTAGAAATTACATATCTGAACTAATTATGTGTCCTGTGGTTATGAAATTTTAAGGACTTGATTGATAAAAATTAATTTCACAAACCGAACCGATAACTTAAACTTCAGCACTAAAAATTTTATTATTTTTTCAAAATAAAACTAATTCTCTGAAAATTAAATTTATCATTTAAAAAGTTCAAAATTAAAAATGTTAAATACGGAATGTCTAAATGTGACTTGGCTGGTAAGTTCAAATTTTACTAAAGGGATAATCATAGAATGAAGGCAGTTCAGAGTCTGCTGTCATAAGATCCTGGTACTGAAATTGTTTTATGAAGGCACTCAAGCTCAAAAACATGCGAGAACTCTTGAACCAATGATTTGTGAGTATTGTGAATGAGAGTGGCATCATCTAGATGAACCAAATCTGCTGTTTCTTCACCGTTGAATGAGCCAAGTTCCTTCAGTAACCCTTTGATGCTTCCGATTTGACGATCGCGTATCCCGCATGGGACAATCCAATTGAAAGGAGTCAAATCGGTGGTGACATTAAGGGCTATCCCATGATAGGTTATCCACTGGGATACTCGGATGCCTGCTGCTGCCACTTTCCGATTTCCTGCAACATACTTCCATGAGAATATGCTTAAAATGGCCACAATGGCAAGCACAATTGAGTGCCTGGAAATTGAAGGGTCATGATATGTGGAAGAAGAATCTTTAGTCTTGTCTAAGGTTTTACAGAATTGAAATGTTAAAAGAGTTTATCCAAAAGTGACGCAACAAAAAGAAAAATTTTCTTATCCAATAGCCTCGTCGCCCGCTTATTTTGCTAACAATTAGAGAATTTTGATGAGCCTGAATAAAATAGAGAGATGAAACTGAATCGAACAAGGAATTCATTTTTAAAGTGGACTAGTTCCATATAAGCAAAATAGGATTTGAGAGACTTACCAACCCAAACACCAGTTAAACCTTCAATCCGGGAAGCCTTAATTGAAAATGTTGAAGAGAGAACACGGATGATGACCTCCTCCAGGCTCCTGAGGTACCAATGAAGATCCTTGTTGTGCTTTCGAAGATTGATAATGGGGTACATTACTAGCTACAATGCAACATCAAATTAGGATTCGTGTAAAACATTCAGATTCTTAAGCTGCAGTTTTTTCTATCCATTCATCTCAACACAACATAACAAGTAATTTTGAGCAAAAACCTGGCCAGGGCCGTGGTATGTAACTTCTCCTCCTCGTTCAGTTCTATAGATATCAAAAGGGGCATTATCAAAGTCAAAATTGAGGTTGTCTTCGGAGCTGCCAGTCCCTAAAGTATAAACTGGTGGGTGTTGCAGAACAATGAGCGTGTCCGTGCATTCTCCTTCCTCTTCTATCTGCGCCTTCTTTTCCCTGACCAGCTCTTTCTGCATAGACCACGCCACTTCATACGGAATTTGCTGGCGGTGCAAATCGATGAGCTCGCAGCTGCCCAATTCATGATTACATTCAAACTGAGGAATATGATTGAGCGAATAGCAAGAATAGATTAAGCAACTCACGTCCTTCGCTGAGCATGAATTGCAGAGAAAGATGAGACCGGCTTCCACCATATTAGGGGCTTGCGGTGTAGTAGTTTTGACTGAGAAAGAGAAGGGCATACGAGTACTGAGCTTGAAGAATTAGACAGCAAGAAGGTCATAGCCATAGGCGGACTCTTTCAAATATAAATAGTTGATATAATATCCTCTTAATTTTTGTTCCAGAAGCTTTGACGAAGATGCCTTAGTAAGCCAATTGGTTCAGGAAACTCCTCAAAGCCATTAAAGAATGACAATTTAAACTCAGCCTTCTAAATTTTTTGACGCAGCCTTCTCAATTTAATGTCTCCCATTCGAAACGTATAGAATATACTCAGCCTTCAATCCTTCAACTAGCCATCCTAAGTGAGCAAAAACAAATCCTATTTAAGAACATTGCGGACAAGCTGCAACAAAACAAAGAACCTGTACGCAAAGCCGAAGATAAAATTAAGGGATTAGGATTAAAAGCACCTGAAGCTAAATGTAGACGGATCTCGGGGAGGCCGGCTGTCTTTCAACTCATCAGAAAATATTTGGAAAAGCCAGCAATCGAAGACGATGGATACGGGATTGGATCGAAGTGGTTTAATAGGCGGCGGCAGCGCGGGGCAAGGAGAAGGGATCAGCTACAGGTACACTGCTGCCCGGCGATAAAAACAAGGAAGTGTTAATGCAGAGTACGAAACTCAGCGTACTAGGCCGCTGAACAGATTATAAACAATGTCCTTCTAAGGCTTGTGGGATGAGAAGGAAGAAGAGGAAGAAGGCGTTAATGACGAGACGAGAAGCTTTCGGCGTGATCTTTTTGTGGCTTTTTTTCTTTTTTTCGGTTTTCCAATGAAAAACTATCTTGAAAAATTGCAAATAAAAACCCCTAGATATATAAAATTATAATTTAAGACTCTCAATTTAGAAAATAGTTTCAGGGCACCGGGTCCCAAATTACAAATATAAAATCTTGTTGAAATGTCTGAAATACCTCCCAGTCAAATGACAAGTTGATTATGAGAAATAACAAATTCACTTTAGCAAATGATAACTTCAGTAGACCAAATTACAGTTTGGCTAATACCAAATAACAAGTTGAGTATGAAAAATGACAAGTTCACTTTAGAGAATAATAATTTCAGTAGACTAAATCACAATCTGGCTGAGAAGTATTTCAAACATTTCACCAATATTTTATATTTGCAATTTAGAATCGGGTCCTTATTTGTTATTTCTCAAATTGAAAGTCTCAAATCATAATTTTAGATATTTAGAGGTCTTTATTTACAATTTTTCCAACTGTTATCTTTGTCAATTTATTTCAATAATACCAATGGGAAATTTATTTAAGTTGTTTTCATATTTTAATCATTTAAATAATTTTTATTAAAAAATGATTTTTGTCAAATGAACATTATCATTTTAATTTTTATCATCGAAAACTAAAATTACCATACACCTATTTTTTTAAAATAACAATTTCGATAATAAAGAACAATTATTTTTACAATTTTAGTGTTAAAAACTTAAAATGAATAGTATTTGCTGATTTTGTTAGATGAAGGGAATTTTGGATAATGTACAGTCATATTCTTCCTTCTTTTCTACCTTTTATGCAAATGAAATATCATCTTTCACTTTCATAATCAACGAAACATTTTTCTAAATTTTCCCTTCCTTTCCTCTTTTTCTTTTTTAAAAAGATTTTCTCACAATTTACCTTCGGTGAGCCAAACGCGGCCAAATTCCTGTTTCTGCCACTATCAGTTTCCTTCAATTTCTACTCACCAGGAAAAAAATTCCGTCAGAATGTTCAGCAGATATGGATTGAATGGAAAGGGTCTTCTAGCGAGGATCATTTTCCCGTTCATTGTATGGGATTTGATGCGAATGCTACCATCCACATTCACAATTTATAAATATTGCGACCTATAATTTTTATACTTTGATGACTAATGTTGCACACGCGCAAGCCGCAATGGATGGCCGATTTCACACTTGCGCTTCGTGACGACGGTTGAGGTGAAAAAGAACCCCCGCCTTGCTGGGAAAAATGAAAATTCCTCGACTGGGGTCAAAACTCAAAACCCGTAGGCAGACTCATGTCGTCTGAGCTCTGAATCTTCACCAACACTCGTTGGCTAATCCTCCCTAAAATATATCCATCTTTCCTGCAGACATGTTCCTGGACACCTGCCCTGCCTCTCATGTTTTGGAGGGATCTTATTGGACACCTGGGGAAGAAAAAGGGTCATCGATTTCCTGATTGAAGCTGCTTGGCCCCTTTCACGTGAAGGTAGCATTTTCAGCATCACTAGCTCAAATTTTACTTTTATTTTCTTTTAAAAATTATAAATTATACACGATTAACCTTTGTGGCTCTGAATATAATGTGTTGCAAAACACAATCAAAACAAATGAGACTACCACATCAAATTTGCGTTAAAAGAAGCAGCAAGGGGTCCCTTTCAAATCATTAATACAAGTGATTGAATAAATATAATTACATACCATGGCGGGAAAAAGAATGATTACATCTCATGTAATAGAAAATAACAGGAAACTTTACATGGAAGCCAAAAGGTCCCTCATCTCAGCAACAGTTGGCATTGTTTCTGTAGGGTAGATCTTAGCGACAAGCTGGGCAAAATTTTCGTACTTGTCGAGAAACTCTTTCTGTCATAATTTTGGGGTAACTACATCAGAAATCATTCATCTACAGACACGCATTATCTTTTTTTTTTTTTTTTTTGGGCAAGCGCGCACACATTATCTACATGCATGTTCTCTCGTATAATCTTTCCATTCACAAACCTGCATGGTCTGCAGGTTTATCAATGAAAGATTGTGCAAGCATCATTAGATTTGCTTGCTTACCAAGCTAGTGAATGCTTCATCTAGTTTTTTTTTAAATTCTTTTAATCACTCTTGCTACTTTTACATGTATCTTGAAGTGGTGGCACCCCTACAGACGATACTTTAATCAAAACCAGGTTGTTGATGAAATTCAGTCATGTTAATTTTTTGAAAAATTTTTGTATACCCGTGAATATAGTATTTACTACCCATGCAGAACATCCTCAACCACTTTGATCCTCTAGTATTTTCAGGAAGACACCAATATAAGAAAATTCTTTATCCTCCCGTCAATTTTCAATTTTATTTTCTTTTCACCCATTTTTAAGTTGTAACTTTGCAGGTTTCAACTAGACTGCCAAAGTATTGATTTAAACCTTCACAAACTCAGCTTTAAAATTAATATTTCTAAGTCAGAGATATCAATAGCATTATTCTGTCATTTTCTTGTAAATAGAATAGGAGATGGTTTTCAACCAACTTTGACTAAACAAGCCTACCTTGCATTTATCCCATAGGGAAGGTAACAGCTCCTCTGAAGTCAAGTTCTTCTGCAATTTCTTATACATTGCAGCAATGGACTTGTCAACCTGAAAAGGAAAGCGAAAACAATGACAAGTTTGGCCCATGACAAAGCCTTCTGAAAGATGCGTGTGCTTACCCCAGATAAACTTGATTTTAACACCTTCCGCAGATCCATTTTTGACAAACCAAGCTGGAAAGGAATCTGGAATTGAAAGAGAATATTATGAAATCACGAACATAGTTGAATGTCCCAAATAGTAATGTGACATTTGGTTCCACCACGTGAAAACTAGGAACCAGTTGTCTTAGTTAGAATTCCAGATCCATTGAGAAGGTGCATCGAGGAAGCTTATATCACAAAAGAATTATACACAGCAATAATCACTAACCTCTTCGGAGGCAACCGTAAACATCAAGTCCTCAATCCTTTTGCCAAACTGGAAGAGACGTTCAAATTGCTTTCCAAAGGAAAAAGAGGAAGAAAGAAAGGATACTGAGTGAGTTCAACATACTATATGTATTTTAGTGTTTGACAAAATGACCTGAAAAAGAAAGAAATCACTTACATAATAAATAATCATACTAATATGGCGTGTGCAAGCTTGTTCATAGGCTTCACTGGCCTGATGGTAAAACTTAGCCAAAGTGGGAACGACATTGGCAAGATCATACAAACTGAGCAGAATGAACAGAGCATGTGAAGTCAGTGTCTTCCTTTCAAAATCAACATAAAAGAAGGAACAGACACAACTTCCTCTTGGCAGATTGGAAAGATAGCCATTCACCTATTTTGAAATGCCGCATAGTTCTCTAAAAGAAATATATCTGCATACTTTGGATCTGTTTGTGCAATTTTTTCCAAAGTTGCGAACATTATGCTAACCTGTGAGGCAAAATGTAAACCAAGAAACAATTTACTGACATGGATTATTGCATCTTGAATCAGGAAAACATGATAACAAGAACAAAAGATTCAAATAATAAAAGTAAAATGAAAAGGAAGAGTTCATCACTGGAAAATAAATGAGTCCTTATTACTAGCGTTAGACCATTGAAGTGGCCCATCCGCCCCATCGGGTTTTAGGAGGCTATTAATTCCAAACTCACAAATGACTCCTTATTTCTAGCAGTAATTGATAAATTCAGCAAGAAATTATGAGCTGTAAAGCCAGTGGACTGGCAAAATAAATATGCCGAGCAGATAAAATTACTGAAGAAACTCAAGTTAATTGAGATATAAGTGTGATTCAGCAATATAGAGAAAATTACTTCCTTTGAAAGAAAAACTATTGAGAATTCAACTTAAGAGATCTTTTTGTTTTACACAATGATATACTCTATTTTGAAAGACGCTCACACCCATTGCATAATCTGATTCCCCCCCCCCCCCAAAAATTAAAAGAAATATGTTTGCATGAGTGGGGGTGGCACATGTATGACAAAGTGAAGTAGCTTCAAAAACACTCTAGAAGAAATGGCAGGAACAAGTGTTTTACTTTATCTTGCTCTAAAGTGTTTTGCGTCTTGCTTAAGCCTTTAACTAGAATGTTCTCTGTGAGATTTCATGTCTCTATGACCACCGCAAATAGTTGAGAACAAACCACTTATTTAAGGGAATCACTCACAAATTTTGTGTATGCCTGGTCAACCAAGTCCCTAGACTGGCCCTGAATGTACTGTTCCATCCGTGTAGCAAGGGTTGCAAATCTATGCCAAAAAAATTACGAAAACATATGATATTGATCCTTACAAGAAACTAAGATATTAACAACAAACAAGACAGTTAATGGTTTAACAGTTATAACTTCCTCATGCAAAATTTGAATTTCACAACAATTTCAATAACAAAACGCATTTTGTTTTGATGGATATCAGATGCACATGGATGTAAATATAACAACTTTAACTGTCAAAAACCAAAGCACCGTGGTCTGAGGCCAGCTAGGCAAAGTTAGAGATCTGCAGAAGTAGACATAAAATGTACAGAGTTTAAACTAAAAAAGAAAACTAATCACAGCAGGGGTGAGAATTAATGATTTCTTAACAGAAATATTAAGAGATTCATGTCTGAAAGAATACTGGATAAACAAAAAATCAAAGTAAAAACATTGCATTTGAATATGAGGTTATTTTTCTGTGATTGCATAATATCACTTCGTTGGGGGAAAAAAGTTGAAAAATCATTTTCACGGGTAAAGCATACTCCTTTGGAAACTAGAAATTAGTAGAAATAGCTAATGCAGTTTGAAGAAGACCAGGATCGGAAAGTACTATAATCTCTAAGAAAGAGCTCAAATGATGGTAATAAGATCCTTCCACAGCATTTAGGGAGGATATTGTTGTAGGTCTATATTTTTCTATGAAACTCAACAAGAATGCAGACAAGGGCCCAATCTATTATACATAAGCACTTGCATTCTTTTTGGTACAAAAAGAGAGAACCAAGGATCCTAATCACCTGGGAATATACGATAAGACCCCCATTTGGCGAACATTGCGTTCATTTCTTTCAATTTGATGGCAAGCTTCATCAACAAACTACAGCAAGATTTCCTTAATTGGGTTAGCTTCAGCATAGATTTGGTGCAATAGCAATTTTAATAGTGTTAGCCACATACACGGCTGAACTGCATGGATATCCTAGACTCTAGGTGACCAAGAAGAAGGCGAACAAATCCTGCTGCGTCTGCTTTCTGACCAGAGAGATAGCGCTCTGTTATTCCATGCATTGATATGCAGCGCAGAGGATCAATCTTATATGCCCAATCCACAACAGCATAGAAGTCTTCCTGCAATAACATAAAGCAGCTTACTACCAGTAACATCTATGAACTTATCATATGCCAAATAACATGCCAAAAATTACATAGAAGTGTTAAACCATAAGAAGCAGTATGTTTATCAGATTTGCCCTATAGCTTGAAACAGCCCATGCAGAGTCTATAAGAAAATCAATGATATTGACATCTGATAGACTAAATGTTTTCTTCCATTGGTGTTTTAAACACCTGTTAGCCATCACTTTAAAGGTTACCATGCATACCAGAGTTACAGAATCCTAGAAGCTATATTCTGTTATGGGTCTAACTGTCACCTTCCACTGTTCCCTTGCTTCCTAAGTTTTCTCTGTAGGATACATATGCAGACTGTTAACTTGTTAACAGTTTCCTTTTAAGGATCAGCTCAATGGCAATTAAGTTGTTTTAATAGCCAGCAAAACAGTTCAGAGAGATACAGAAGACGACACTTCAGCTGGAAAATGAACCCCCCCCCCCAAAAAAAAAAAAATTCCTCTAGGTGACAAAAATATCATGCAAGAACAGAAGAAGCGAACACTTTAGTTCACAAATACAAGAAGCTCAAAAAGGTAGAGCAACTACACATACTTGGATGCCATCGAGCAAATCCTGGAGTGATTCATTTAAAGCTGCAAGCTCAACAGAACTTTTACCTACGAAATGAAGCAAATGGTCACATTGTGGAAAAAATGATTGTATCAGAGAAAATCAAAGTACAATATATTTTATATGCACTTTGAAGAAAGGATATTTGCAGAAAGTGAGGCACATGTACCTGGCTTGCTGTCATTGTCGTCAATGTCCATAATTCCGAGATCATCATCATTGGCATCATCATCATATCCAGTTTTATTACCATTTACAATGCCACCTGGAGGAACTAGCGTGGGAACTTCAAAGCACATAAAGTGTGCAAAGAAGGAGCTCTGCAGTACAAGACATGAAAAAACACATTAAATGCAATAAGAGTAACTATGTTTTGAAGATCAATGAATATGAGGGCTGTTACCTCATCCACCAGAAGTGGAATAAAAATCGTGAGCATCTTTGCATAAGCCTCAGACACTGTAGAAGTGTCAGCAGCATTTACATTCTGACCAGAACCTGTCGAACCTTCAAGCCAAACAGTTGGATTTCTTGATGCTTTAGTGCTAGCACGAAGCTCATTTGCAAACTCACGAGCCTGTGGAAGACAGCAAACAATTCAAACATTATACACACGCACACATATTATTCTACTGAAGCATCAAATCAAAAGATCCGCACATAAAACCTACAACAAGAATTCTTAAACCTATGAGTTACATTATCTTATGTTCCTTTTTGCTGCTAGCAAGAACTTTAGCCAGAGATAATTAAGAGACAAACAACAAGGTGTATGACTAATTTGAAATCTCAGACCTCCCTGCGAAGAAGCAAGTTAAGTGAACTGCAATAAGCTTTCCTCAGTGAGCCCAGGCAATTTTTATCCAGACTCTGCAAGTGCACAGTATACGTCAGACAGAAAGCCAAGAAAAGAAAATAATAAACATGTAGATGCAAGATGTTGTTAACCTTTAAATGCTGCAGAAGTCGTGCATATGTCCTACATTTGTACCGCAAGTCTGCATGATCAGGCCTCTTCAATTGTCCACGCTGTTTAAAGCAATCATGCCATGATGTACTTAAATTTCGAAGACTCTTTAAAATATACTTTTATTAGGAGTTTAAAGCAAAAGTACCTGAGAGAAATAACTTTTATCGCTTATCATGAAATCCACCAAACTAGCAAAATAATTTCTTAAGAACTCTGAAGCTCTCCTGACAAAGGTAGATTTTAACTTTTCAAGTTCTGCACGCTTTTCTTTAACCTGATGGAGAAGGAAGTAAGGAACCACCATTAAAATAGATAACATTAGGTCCCATGCATATAAAAAGTATCTACACAGCAGGAGCGCTCTATTGGCCTTGGGATGCCAAAATTCTCTGAAGACTAATTGCAGGTGAAAGGTGACAGGAGTGATTAATAATCATTATATCACAAATCGCTGGTTAGATAATGAACAGAACGCCACAAGATGTGTAACAAGCTTTTTTTTTTTTTTTTTTAATCTTTGCATGAATGGTTTTTGCAGTAATCTTGACCCATCTGATTACTTGCTACTATTAACTCTTACTTGATACACACTACATATACATGTCATTAAATTTAAAATTCTACTTCAAAAATTGAATTTTATGAGAGAAACTAAAAGCAAGCAAGAGAAAATACAGCTCTCATGTTTGCATAAGCAGGATCCAGATAAGGCCCTTCAAGACCACGCAAGGCTCCAGTCAACCATTCACATGCTTCAACATTTTGAATCATTCTTGCCTCATCAAATGAACCTCCGGTCAGACATGCTGCATACTACACAATGAAAACGTTTACATAATTATCAAAGTAAGTTAGTTAAATTCAAAAAAGGATTCAATTCACCCGCTTAAAGAATACCTCAGAAGGGACCCGTAGTCGCTCAACAAGCTTATCAAGCTCCTCAATAAGAGCTTTGTTATTCACAGATTGCATTTCCAAATTGTTATTGCGAGTTTCTATCTAAACATCACATAAGGTACTGAGACAAATCAAGAAGAGATCATTCCACAAACAGAAAAATATCCAAGGCACAGTTTAGATAAATAAAACTGAGAATTCTCATTCAAGGCAGAAATAACTTTCATACTAATCACAAAATTGCTGTTTTCCATAAACAATCATCATAAACGTAACCTCTCATTGAGCAGCACTCTTGCCAAAGTGCCAAACCCTCTAAAGCTAGTCAACAGAAACAATTCCGAAGACATACCCAAGGTTCACCAAAGGCACCTTGGATGGTAACTGAAAGGGAAATTATCTTCAAGTAAAAGCGCACATAATTCAGTGTCAAGATATGGAGCCTTTTGTAACATTTTTTGATACTCCTTTTATTAGTGTTCTAATTTTTAAAGATTCTGTTGGAACCAAATGTGGCAAAAATGATTTTATCAAAAAATTCAGTGTCAGCTACCAAGAAAACAAATGAAGTAACACCAAAGGCATTGTCACAATGGTGACTTTTGCTGACAACAAAATTAACTCATGAACATGCTTTCAACAGGGGAAGTGAAAAAACTAAACAGATGAACAATGACATACTGAGGCACAGCCATAACAACCATTGGTGGACAAAGTATACAACCAACTTCACATGCACAAGCCCCTACCGATTCAATATCCTCCCTCATGTGCCGAAGTTTCACATTGAAGATGCCTAACCATTCATCCATGTCTTCCACACAACTCATTGCTGTGTCAAGCCCTTGCAACACCTGAAGGCATCAATAAAAGAATCGCAAATAGGACAAGAAGTTCAAATAATTCTATAAAAGCTAGTTATGAGTAACCTGAAAATTTGTATAACATATCATCATATTTTTTTTATCATACAATGACAGCTCTAATGGTTCAAAGCGACAGTCTCAGTTCAAGTATCGGCACTAACTGGAAGCTTCAAACAAGGGCTAAAATCAGGCTAACCGGATAATCTCATGCCAAAGTCAAAGTCAATAGTGGAGATACGAAGTATCATTTTCCAATCACATAGTAACAGATCGAATGGTCAGAACAATAATGAAATGCTTTCTCTGCTCATGATACTGGCATCAATTGGAAGCTTTAAGTAGTAGGTAAAATCAGGTAAATTGGTTAGCCTCAAGCAAAAATCAGCCGAATGTGTTTAAAATGCTTATTGCACAATTTATACAACATAAAGGCCAAGCGAAGTCCATCCTTCTAAACTCAGATAGAAAACTTAGCTGCAACTGACCATATCAATGAAGGGATGTCTATACAGGGATATGCAACAAACAAGAACATATACCAGCAAAACAAAGGCCATTTATTTTGTTCATTATACCTCTTCTATCATAGGTTCGCTTTCTAAAATGGCATGCACATTTGCTGCTTCAAGAGCCTGGAGTTCTCTCTTCAACCTTTCAGAAAATTCTTCTGCTTCACCATTACCAATAACATAACTGCACATTTTAAGAATGTTAAGTAGTTAGTTGTGTCCATCCACATCTGTGAAAAGGAAAAAAAAGAAACAAACCCGAATGTCAAGTGTGTTCGACCAACATCACTAATTGATTACACTCTTTCAGCATATATGTCACAAGTTTAGCGTTCAGTATTGGTTACTAATCTCTGGAATCCTCTTGTCAGCATCAACCATAAAATAGGGACTGGCTAGCAGGACTCTTGAGTATATTACTACACATTGCTAAGAAATGGCAGAAATGCAGCCGTCTCCTCCATTATGAAAAATTATGTTCGTCTCTTCTATTTGGCTCTATAATAAAATTTAGGACAAGGACAGAACTTACGTTCCCAAAGAGTCTCCATGTCCTCTTCCTCTGCTTGCGAGACAAGTTCCTTTTCAACGGCAACTTTCATTTCAGGCTGTGTCACAGCAGATGCAACGGGAGGACCACCTTGTGGACTCCTTTGTGTGGAAACTGGAGGTACGTTGGCCTATCTCACAATTATAGGAAATTATTAGCAAGGAAAAAAAAAAAAAACTCAACATCCACAACAATAACTTGCAATCATGACTTAAAACCAACAAACTAAATGGCAATATCTTTGGAGTGATGAGATGAACCACATAATACGTTAATAAAAACTAGGCACATATTTATTGTAAGTTTACACTGAATAGGACAACACATGTACCTTTGCCCAGAGAGACAACTCCACAACATCAATACCAACAACTTTAGGAAGGGGGCCTAGAAGATCCTTTGACATATTCAAGATGCTAAGCAGCAGACGATTCCTACAAAGAAAAAAGAAATTTAAAGAGATAATTCAACAATCTCTACTGATATGGAAGACAACAATTAAATTGAGCATGTTCTCTCAACAATATAACCTGTCATCTATATTGCGCATTGTCCATTGAGGAGGAGCTACGCTCTGGTTTCTGAGGTTATCAAACCCCTACAAGATATACATTCGTCACAACAAAGAATATCAGATAGAAAGGTATCAAGAAAAAAAAACTCCCAATTCCAGGAGATGGAAAAATAAAAAAAAAATGCCTCTCATATCATTTCAGTGC